AYAWWYAAMCTAGTTCCTGTGTCACACAGAACATGTATCAAGGCACCTCTAACATGTTACACTCTTTTCAGTGTGAAAACACTCTTATTAAAGCATTGTGTTCAAGTTTCCATAAAAAGGGTTGTTCTTCATGTTTGTACATTATAATACATGTGCAATAACACTTTTTCAACAATATGTATTTTTTGCTCTATACTGGGCATGCTCATCATCAGTGATAATTCAGTAATTTGTTTTTTTTTTGTAAGTAATCGCTTTTGGGAGTAGCCACATGCGCTCTTTGAGCGCCTTTAATTTTTATTCCCAAGGCATTCTCTGTGTGATCATGCTTAGAAGTATTTTCTGCGAGTAGAAAGTGCTTTATTTATTGTGAAGTTCACGAATAAGGACTCAAGTTGCTCGATCAGGTCAAGAACATAACGAAACCGTGCATTCATTCTCAAACTCCTGAAATATGCTCAAAATATTCAAATAGACACACAMAAAAAGAATGCAGGAACTATGTAGTGMATCGGTACAAAATGTTAATACTGACTTTGTGTTTTACTTATGACTTTGTAGTCGGCTAGATAAATATTGACACCCTGTGACATGGAAAAAATATCAGAAAGCACAGCCCTATTYAAGACCAATTGTCAATTGTATACCTATTCGAGACCCTATTTGGCGGAATGTCCCAGTTTACAGAAAATATGGGGAATGAGTACACCCCGGGGCCATGCGCCACGTTCTATATTATGCAGCAATCGCACTTGTTTCTTCTTGRCCTTAAGCAGGGACGGCGGAGCAGTTTTTAAATTCTGGGTAAAAACAAAGGCTGATAGTATCAAACGCTTCGTAGAATATACGACGATAGAAGTCTCGAGTTGTGTTGKGTCTAGTTCTGGTTCGGAGAGATTTTCAAGCTCTTTAGAATAACGTCGTAAAATGCATTGAATGATTCGTCATTTAGTAAACTTTGCAAAGTGTCAACAGTCAGGCCTGCCAGTCTCTGCCCTGTTGTAGCTGCGAACAAACGATGACTTTTTATTCTCAAGAATTAAAGACGCAATATCAGAAAATTATTTGGTTTATTAATTACATGTTGCGCAGAAAATTATAGCAACTGGAAATATTTTTTTGGTCGAGTTATGTTGAGAGGAAGAATCAGGAAGCCGCACCTTCGAAATGAAAATTTGCGCATGCTCTAAACAGTGTACTTGAAAATTCCGAGAAAAGTTGCTGAAGGGATGTGATGAAATGATGTTACAGCTTGCTGAAACGTGTTGCAAAAAGTAGACCTGATTTCTACCTTTTGTAGCGCTAGACGCAATGAACAGTGAACAGTGAACTTGTGTACAGTGTAACGGCGTTGTGCGGACCAGTTGCTATTGCACAGTTTAACAGGGCCTTTAGCAGACCTACCAAAACCATTCTTATAGTCCTACCAAAACCTTGAAAACCCTTCAACATCAACACACTTAGTCGAAGAATAATCTGGTTTATTGTGTTTATTATTACATRTACCTCAATTTATTAGATCAATTTAAAAGCGGTTTCAACTGATGACTTTGCTCAAACATTTGATTGGCTTTATTCTTGTTCTCTCTTCCCAATAGGGCCACCCCATCTATTTGGAATACGTTTCTTTGAAATGGAGAATATATGTGGACTATGAATCGGTCTTGGTGATTCTTCTGGCGTTCGTTGCTCTTCAAAAAGATCGTTTTTTTCTGTAAKTAGATGCATGAATAAGAGAAAACAATGTTGAATAAATCATACTAAATAGTGCAATAAAAAATGTACAAGATTAATTAGAAAATAGAAAACAAAACGATTTTTCATGGTTTCAGGATCGCTGGTATACTTTCCTTTCTATGCAGTAGCCCTTCCTAATCAGGACGCAGTTATTAATATAAATTGCGATTCGGACATCTCCGATGCTTGTAATAGTATGATGGTAATAGAAATGAATAATTTTACCTTGTTTGGCCTGAAGAATTGTAAATGAGAATATTAAACACATCATAAGAAATAGACCTTTCATTTTTTGCGACGATTAATCTGAAAATAAGAAAATTAACCCGTGTTATTGTTTTAGACTTGATTGTAAGGCATATACTCTAAATAGTASGAAAGACAATTAGCAATAGAAGGTTTTTTGGAGAAAATAAGTTCAGTATTGTGTTTACAAGGAATGAATGGAATTGTTAAACTGGTTGAAACCTTGAAAACTGTATTTAAATCTAAAACATAAAACTTAGAATGGTTTACATTATGGGATTGTATTATTACTTCATTACGTGGGATTCCTGTGGAGGCTCACGTCTAAAAATGTCAGTGGACCTTTGTTCGTCGTCGTCGTCGTGAATATTACGCTTCAAATTGGTAGCGTCTACGTTGTAGATGGTCTGCWKTCCCAGTTTACATGGGGTTTTCAAATCAATCCGCGCTTTGTTTTCATTTTTGGCATGTATTTGTACGTCATTCGGCCCCGTGGCCTGATCGCGATATCTACGGCTTCACTGTGATCAGCTGGTTTGTTTATAAGCCATGAATGTAAATTGTATGACAAAACCAAGCGCTGTAGTAGTACTTAGTTCAGTTCGGTAAAAAAAAATCAAGATGTAATAAAGATGTAAAATACTTAATTCTGTCTTGAACTATTTCAAACAAAGAAGCCCGCGTAAGCGATCTATGATCGTCTAGTCTTACCTTAAAACAGATTGAAGTGTTTCTGTACGGTGAACTGTTAAACAAACTTTATATAAAAGCTGTTCAGTGTAAACTGATCCGTTATTCAAGAATAAACTCATAAAGAAATATCCTCTGACGTCCAAACAAAATTATTTTTGAAATGRCACTTAATTAAAGTCAATTTAAAAAGGATTGCTCTATGTGGAGTGCAAGTGGAAATATAGTACTGTATGGTTTTCACATGACAGTTATGATGAAAAACGAAAAAAACGACGTAAGAAAGAAATGAGAGAAAGAAAGGAAATCCCTTATAGAATAAAGATAAAACATAATGGGAAACTGATAAACAAACTACAGGGAAAGTTAAAACAAGCCACAAAAAATTGACAACAATTGACAAAAAAATAAAAACATGCGCAGTAATGCACTTAAGACGTGCAAAGTGGAACAACGTGGAAAAATTCGAGACGCAAGTGGGAAAGGCACCCACGACCTTCTGATGTAAAGGAGGGTGGATGAGAAACTATACTCAAACAGGCGAATTCATGATATATACCTCAGTCCAAAGACTGATGACATACAATAGCCAATTAATGCAGGAAAACTTATCAAAAGTATGCTCTTTGACAATRGTCTATCTAAATTTCAAGAATAAACATAAAATCTTTTGATGTCAGTAGTAATACTTAGTAGCGAGGAAGAATCTCAGCAGATGAAAGTAAGGTATCGATTCAGCTAAGTGTCCTTAMTTAAAATAGGTAATTGTACGATTTGTAAATTTCCTGCTGAAAAGAAATTAGTTCAAAGCGATGACATAAAAACTGTGAAACGGAATCTATAGTTACTACGCCTAATAGCCAGTTAATGGAAACGCTGTTAATTTTGGTAAGATTTCATGGTTTCACTCAATGTTAATATGTAGCAGACAGCTAGTGAACGTTGGTCATACACAAACAAACATATCAGCAAAATTTGTGCTAGAGTATACTGGGTTAACAAAAACTGTTAAATATACTCAATACTCTGACATCCAGAATTCAGAACATCCAGAATTCAAAAATSAGAAAAAGCAATAGTCAATAAAAGGGAAAGTAAAGAAAAATAGCGGTTTTCGGTCTGGTGGAAACACAAACAAGCTGCAAAAGAGATCGTTAATGTAACAGCCAAAAAATTCAGGGAAKTGGAACAAAGTAAACGTAGGGTCGATGAGTAACTTGAAACTTGCATATTGGTTTCTCTCAATATTACTGAAGTACAATTTGCTATATTTTGGTGCATCCAATTATTTACGTATCAACTKTTGGTTTGAATGTAAAGAATCTTGTTCTAGGAATAGAATTGGGTATAAATAATCTCGTCCAGCATATTTTTACTATGTACTCTAATTCGCTCTAGTTTTCTCGAGTACATAATTTCACGATATTGGAAGAGGCATATTTRGGCATTAATTTTCGCGTTTTTGACAAWTAAGATATGTTGTTATTTTTAATTTACATTTAATCATCAATTATTTTTACATATTTTTCAATTATTTGTTTATTTGTGATGCATATATCATACACCCGTTTGGAAAAAAAAAATGGTTTCAATACATAAATGATTGATATGTTCATATTGCTCTTTCAAAAAAGGTTGTCGGATAAAATGGCGAATGTCAATGGTCGAACGGCAATTGCACGACCGAAAGTAGTCATGGGTTTTGGTAGTTGAAAGGCAATAACAACTGATTTGTACTGTAAAATGGTCTTTGGTAAACATTGGCTCTGTTTATTAGACTCCATTTCTATGCAAGGCGAATCCAATATGTGAAATTTTGTTTATCAAAACAATGTAACCATAGTCCCTTTTGGACGTGCAATCTCCCTTCGACAATCGCCGTTCTCCCCGACAACGGTTTTGAAATAGCTGTATATGTATTTTGTAAATCTATTTTATTGGAAGACTTCAAAAGACACGTTTCGYGGAACACGCCTTTTCGCAGGCTAAATACGACCGTCCAGTAAGAGAGGTGAGTTGCACCTGGTTCTTTGTAGSATAAATTCTCAATCTGAACGTGTGATAAAATATCTTCTTAGGGGAATRGACAAGTAATATTTTGTGTGTCAAACATTCCCCAGGGTACAGGG